AGCTGTAGCTTTGTTACTTCCACTTCAATATTTTATGTTTCTGTCTCCCATAAAATTAAAACACTGCTTCCGTTATTAACTTTTTGGGAGCCTTTCCCAGGAAAATCAATTTTAAAATGGTAAAGAAAGGACCGATATCCTCACCCAGTTCCAAACATGCTGTTTATGATACATTAATTATTGCCTTTTTCTTCTTCGGTTGTCAGCAGCTAATGGCTGGCCACAGGGACGTAGCCAGTCTTTCCCCTGCCAGTTTGGAGGGCTTTCCTTGGATAGAATGGAAAGACCCCCATCTCGCTGTGATCAACACCACCCCTCCTCTTCATCGTGCCTTTGGGGCTATTTTAGGCCCTTTTTAGGGCCCCCAGAAGGCCGAACTCGGACTGAATTTTTTCCCACAATCAGGACATTCAAAGGGTTTCTCTCATGTGTGAGTCCTCTGGTGCATCACCAGAGAGAAATTACGACTGAAACTTTTCCCACAATCAGCACATTCAAAGGGTTTTTCTCCTGTGTGAGTCCTTTGGTGTATCACCAGGTAAGAATAAGAACTGAAACTTTTCCCACAAACTGGATATATAGTTTCTCTCCGGTGTGGGTTCTCTGGTGCTTTACTAGGTTGGAATTTGCAACAAAACCTTTCCCACAAAGTGGACACTCATACGGTTTCTCTCCTGTGTGAGTCCTGTGGTGGATCACCAGATCGGAATTACGACTGAAACTTTTCCCACATTCAGGACATTCAAAGGGTTTTTCTCCCGTGTGAGTCCTTTGGTGTATCACCAGGTTAGAATGGAAAGTAAAACTTTTCCCACAAACAGGACACTTGTATAGTTTGTCTCCTGTGTGAGTCCTCTGGTGCATCACCAGAAAGGAATTACAACTGAAACTTTCTCCACAATCAGCACATTCAAAGGGTTTTTCTCCCATGTGAGTCCTCTGGTGGTTTACTAGCTTGTAATTTGCAAAGAAACGCTTCCCACAACCTGGACACTCATACGCTTTCTCTCCTGTGTGAGTCTTCTGGTGTCTCACCAGGTCAGAATTTGCAATGAAACTTTTCCCACAAAGTGGACACTCATACGGTTTTTCTCCTGTGTGAGTCCTCTGGTGTCTCACCAGGTGGGAATTTACAACGAAACCTTTCCCACAAAGTGGACACTCATAGGGTTTTTCTCCTGTGTGAATCTTCTGGTGCATCACTAGACAGAAATTAGACTGAAACGTTTTCCACATTCAAGACATTCAAAGGGTTTCTCTCCTATGTGTGTCCTCTGATGTCTCACCAGGAGGGCATTTGCAACAAAATGTTTCTGACACTCAGGGCATTCAAAGGGTTTTTCTTCTGTGTGAATCCTCTGGTGTCTCACCAGGCTGGAACTGTGAGTGAAACTTTTCCCACATTCAGGACATTCAAATGGTTTCTCTCCTGTGTGAGTCCTCTGATGTCTCACCAGGAGGGCATTTGCAACAAAACCTTTCCCACAAAATGGACACTTAAATGGTTTCTCTCCTGTGTAAGTCTTCTGGTGTATCACCAGTTGGGAATTCTTAGTGAACCATTTCCCACAATGTGAACATTCAAAGGGTTTCTTTCCTGTGTGAATCCTCTTGTGTTTCACTAGGTGGGAATTCTTAGTGAACCGTTTCCCACAATCTGAACATTCAAAGGGCTTCTCTCCGGTGTGAGTCATCTGGTGTTTCACCTGGTAGTAATTTACAGCGAAACATTTCTCACAAACTGGACACTCCTATGGTTTCTCTCCTGTGTGAATTACTTTACTTGGTAAAGCATTTACCATATTGGGAGCACTTATAGGGCATCTGTCCTGTGTGCATCCTTTTATGAACCAGAAGGGAGATATTCTAACCAAAGATTTTGTTACATTAGTAACATTTACAGTTTGGATCCTCTTATATTTAATCAACGATGCTTTTGCAATCTGCGCTTTATACCACAATAGTAACATCTGTGCACCTTTTCCACCACAGATATGCTGGGAGACATCAAAAATGTTTGTGGTCCTTTATTTAGTGGTGCTTTGATTTTACCTACTATTTTCTTCCTCCCATTGGGAATTCTGCATTAGCGTCTGCCCTATTTCAGTATCCAATTGACCTTTTCTTCCCCACTGACTTCCAGATATTTTCCTCTTTTTCTGAATGGAAAAATGATCCCCTCCACCTTGTCATGTAACCTATCCTTCTGTTCTGCATACTCTACTATTTCCAGCTTGAATTCTCTTCTTGATTTTCTCTTGCCTTTCGCCTGCTAGGATGGGACAATTGTGTAATTTTTTGAAGGAAATGGAAAATATTTTGATTCTGGCTGGATTTGCTTTCCTTTTCAAAAATTATTCTTACTTCTCCAGAGTGCTCTTATTACCATCTTCTTTGTCTACAAGAGTCAAAGAAAAGTGTAAGTTTAATTGTTTATACAATGCTTGTAGATGTGAAAAAAGAAAAAAATATACATTACATTTAAAAAGCAAACATAACACAATGCTAACCTATTACTTTAATTACGATTCATTGGACGTTCCAGAGATCCAAGTTCAAATATCTGTTCAATCATGAAATTCCCTTGACTTGCATCAACCATAAACTGTAAGCGCTATTATGGGTTATCATAAAATATATCTGGAAGTCTGGGGTATAGATTATACAATTACAAATACGTGGAAAGAGTAATATAAATACACATACCAATAATTGTATCTATGTGGAAAATTCTGCAAAATTTGCACATGGAACTCCTCAGCTACAAATAAGGGCAAAAACTACTCTCCATAATCCCTCTGCTGACATCTCAATTGAAGTACTCCTTACTTAATGACTGCAATTGAGACTGGCATTTGTGTCATTAAACAGTGCGAACATTAAGTATGATGTTAGCATGATAGTGCCAACTTACATCTGTTCCTCTGGACTTGCTAAGCAAATCACCATGGGTCGTTAAAGGCAATTTCACATGACTGTGGCTTGCAATTTCCTGCCGGTATATCCATTGATTTTGCTTGTAAGAAGCTAGCTGGGAAGGTCACAGATGGGGATCATGAATGTGGGATACTGCAGCCACCATAAACATGCAACAATTCGCAACATCTGAATTGGTGCAACTCCCTTTTCCTGCATTTTCATAATCATAGGCCCAGTGAAGAAGTGGGTAAATGAGGACTATTTATACAACTGAACATCCTGAAAGGTCTTCCATAGCTATTCTTTCAGAAGTGCTGGCTTAAGCACAGTTGAACCTCATTAATACATGTATAGGGCACCAATAGCAAATATCATCTTGCAAAAAAATTAAAATCCCAGAAAAAATTGTGGCAGTTTCAGTCTGACATTGTTGCAAGAAAACAACAGGTCTACAAGAGAAAAATGACAGTTGAAAGGGACCTCGGAGGTCTTCTAGTCCAATCCCCTGCTTAGGTAGGAAATCCTATATTATTCTTGACAAATGGCTGTCCAATCTCTTCTTAAAAACCTCGAGTGATGAAACACCCACAATGTCTGGAGGGAAGCTGTTTCATTGATTGTTCTCACTGACAGGAACTTTCTCCTAATTCTAGACTCCATTTGTTACTTCTTGTTCTGCTCTACGATACTTTGGTGCACAGGTGAATCCTCTCTTCTATGTGACAGCCCCTCCAATTTTGAAAGATTGCCATCATCTAAAAACAAATTCTCCATGCAGCACTTTAGTCCAACAACTGAAGCTTCTGCAGACCAAACAATAAACTGGCTCTTCTGCACACCAGTCTCTCTTCCCCAAAAGGCCCCACAGGCAGTTATTAGAGCTCCCAGGCCTGTCCCTTGACCTTAAATTCTGTTATCTTTCTGAATATTATCACAGAACCCCCTTGATCTCTTTGGAAAGCTGTTTGTAAGAAACAGTGGAAAGCTTCTTTTTTAGGGTAGATTATTCAGACCTTAAAAGGACTAAAATTGAAAACCTCTGCAGACAGGGCTGTTCACTGACACAGGCAGGGAGAAACAGGGACGCAGCAGTCACCAGAGAGGGAATCTGGGCAGGTAAGAGAGGCAGATTCAGGAGCTCCATCCCAAAGGAAGCCCACCTGGACAGGGCTGCCCATTGGCCAAGCCCACCTGGACGCCTCTCGGGTCTCCCTCGCCCGCCTTCCAGACGCCCCTGGCCTCCTCCTAGCAGGGTTCCCACCCTCGCCTCCAGCCACGCTCCCTCTGAGCCCAGAGCTCCCCGGCCTCTTCCCCTTCCTCCCCTCCAGACACTGGGAAGCTGATCCTCCCCAGCAGCCCCAGGGGAACGTGGGAACGGCGGTGCCCAACCTTCCGGGAAACGCCAGGAGCCCCCAGGCTGGGAGCCGGGCTGCGTGAAGAGGAGGGGCTGCGGGGCAGGAGGGGGGCTGTTCCTCTGCAGGCCTTAAGCGAGTCGCTCTGGGTCGTTGAAGGCAATTTCACGTGACTGCGACTTGCAACCTCTTGCCAGCCTCTCCAGGGATTTTGCTTAGGAGAAGCTGGCTGGGGAAGCCACAAACGGGGATCGCGAGGGTGGGATGCTGCGACCGTAACGGATGTACAGCGGTGGGCAACGTCCGAATCGATCAGCCCCACCTGCTCCCGGCTTCTCCCCCGACCCGCCCTCGACTCACCTTCCAGCTGCTGCTTCGACCCTGGGAAGAGCACAAAAGCCCCCCCCACGCCCCCTTCCTCCCCTGAGCGATCCGGAAGAGGAAGTTGCTCTGACCTTCTCCTCGCCTCCCTTCCTTTCTAGCAATGCAGTACTCGATGGTTGCAGCTCCTCTTCCCTCTACCACAGACGCCGCTTTCTAGTCTATCTGACCTATCTCGGCTTTTGGCGTCTAGAGAGGTTTTCAGTGATTTATCTGCTCTCCGGTCGTTTCCGCCTCCCAGCGACCGTCCTTTGCAACTTTGCTGCATCCCATCGCTAGCTCATACTTGGGTGATTGTCCTCTGAGAGTACAGGCTGCTCTTTTCTGCACTCAGCGAAAAGCTCTCGCACGGGCAGAGCAACTTCCTCTTCCGGAGCGCTCAGGGGAGGAAGGAGGCGTGCGGGGAGGCTTTTGTGCTCTTCCCAGGATCGAAGCAGCAGCTGGAAGGTGAGGCCAGGGGCGTCTGGAAGGCGGGTGAGGGAGACCCGAGAGAGGGATCCAGGTGGGACGATGGGCAGCCCTGTCCAGGTGGGCTTCCTTTGGGATGGAGCTCCTGAATCTGCCTCTCTTACGTGCCCAGATTCCCTCTCTGGTGACTGCTGCATCCCTGTTTCTCTCTGCCCGTGTCAGTGAACAGCCCTGTCTGCAGAGTCTTTCAATATTAATTTTAGTTTTTTTAAGGTCTGAATAATCTACCCTGAAAAAGCTTTCCACTGTTTTTTACAAACAGCTTTCGAAAGAGGTCAAAGGGGTTCTGTGATAATATTCAGAAAGATAACAGAATTTCCGGTCAAGGGACAGGCCTGGGAGCTCCAATAACTGCCTGCAGGGCCTTTTGGGGAACAGAGACTGCTGTGCAGAAGAGCCAGTTTATTGTTTGGGCTGCAGAGGCTTCAGTTGTTGGATTAAAGTGCGGCATGGAGAGTTTGTGTTTAGATGATGGCAATCTTTCAAAATTGGAAGGGCTGTCACATAGAAGAGGGGATTTATCCATGCGCCAAAGTGTCATAGAGCAGAACAAGAAGTAACAGATGGAGTCTAGAATTAGGAGAAAGTTCCTGTCAGTGAGAACAATTAATGAAACAGCTTCCCTCCAGACATTGTGGGTGTTTCATCACTGGAGGTTTTTAAGAAGAGATTGGACAGCCATTTGTCAAGAATAATATAGGATTTCCTACCTAAGCAGAGGATTGGACTAGAAGACCTCTGAGGTCTCTTTCAACTCTCATTATTCTCTTGTGGACCTGCTGTTTTCTTGGCAACAATGTCAGACTAAAACTGCCACTATTTTTTTCTGGGATTTTTATTTGTTTACTTCTATTTATGGCTAACAAGCACGGTATTTCCAACTGACGCCCCATACTTGTATTGATGAGGTTCAACTGTGGTTAAGCCAGCACTTCTGAAAGAATAGCTATGGAAGACCTTTCAGGATGTTCAGTTGTATAAATAGTCCTCATTTACCACTTCTTCTCTGCGCTTATGATTATGAAAAAGCAGAAAAGGGAGTTGCACCAATTTGGATGTTGCCAATTGATGCACATTTATGGTGGCTGCAGTATCCCACATTCATGATCCCCATCTGTGACCTTCCCAGCTAGCTTCTTACAAGCAAAATCAATGGGTATACCGGCAGAAAATTGCAAGCCACAGTCATGTGAAATTGCCTTTAACAACCCATGGTGATTTGCTTAGCAAGTCCAGAGGAACAGATCTAAGTTGGCATTATCATGCTAACATCATACTAATAATAATAATTTTCATTTTGCGGTCACAGACCAAAATGCAGTGCAACAAAAGAAAACACAAGAAAAATATAATCACAAACAATTAACACCAGAAGCCTTGGCCAAAGGGAATTACTATGTTTTCCTCTAATAGTTACAGATCTTAAAAGAAATTTAGAAACCTGAGAAGTAATATAGGAGGAGCCATCCCCCAGACAATATAAGACCAAATTACTAACATTAGAACCAGAGGGATCAATTCCAAGGAGAGACAGTAATTCTGGCTGTGTTATACATAGGGCAGTATGATAAGACATGCTCCACAGTTTCAATTTCAGTCCTATCACAGGGGCATAGTTGCTCACTAAACAGGAGCCTCTTGAATCGCCCGTCGAGTAGTGCTGAGGGCAAAACATTGAAACGGGCTAGGGAAAAGACTCTTCTATACTTGGGGATGGTTAGAGTATAAAAATATGAAGCCATCCTCAATCCATAATTATTAGAATGGCTGAAGATCAAAGGGGAGCAGGTTTTGTTGGCTCTGGCTCTTAAGTATTGCAAATCTATGTCCACAAGTCGTTGGACTACCCTAAACTGGGCGTCCTTGAGACCGTAATCTCCCAGAGCATCCCCTGTAAAACCTAGGAAGTGGAGTTTCTTCATCAGCTCCCTCTCCCAATGAGAAGTATGAGAGTTGGCAAACACCAGGGAGAGGTAGCTACCAGGGACTGCTGAAAAGAGCACCTGAAACCACCATTTGAAGGTGTTAATCCACGCCATGCATTCGACTGAACGAATGCCCAGTTCCAGGTACATCGAAGCAAATCCAACACAGGGAGGAAGACCCAGAAGTTTCCTAAGAAAAACAGCCTGGGTTCTTTCAGTACAATCCATGAAGCCTTGTATCCATATGGAAATTGCATAAAGAGTTTGGACCAGGGTTTTGGCTTTATATATATGCAGAGCAGAAGGAATAAACTGGCCTCCTTGGGTAAAAAAGAATCTTATAATCTGCTGATGGCTACAGGAGGCTAAATTCAGCACCTGGGTTTGATGTTTAGTCCAAGCACCAGTATTCTGAAATTGAATACCGAAATACTTAAAATGGAAAACCTGCCTAACAACATTACCATTGATAGCCCAGTTGTATGATTTCCAGGCTCTAGAGAACACCAATACTTTGGATTTGTCATAATTAATAGACAAATGGTTCTCAGCACAGTAGGACCCAAATGCAAAAAGTAATCTTTTTAGACCAAGCCTTGATTGCGATAGAACGACCGCATTGTCAGTATAAAGAAGAAGCGGAATCTTCGTATTTAACAACTTTGGGGCATGGGACTCAATGCGTTCAATGTAAGAGGCCAGGTCAGATAAGAATAAATTAAACAGAAGAGGGGCCATAACATCATACTTAATGATCAGGCTGCTTAATGACACAGATCCAGTCTCAATTGCAGTCATTAAGTGAGGAGTACTTCAATTGGGATATCAGCAGAGGGATTTTGGAGAGTAGTTTTTGCCCTTATTTGTAGCCGAGGAGTTCCATGTGCAAATCTTTTCAGAGGCTTTAGTTATCATTTCATCATTTAAAGCCCCCACAACTCTTAAAATTAACTCAGAAGGTTTGACAGTAATATTTTTTCTTTTTCAGGCTGAAAACATGAATTTTCCCACATAGATATAATTATAGGTATGTGTATTTATATTACTCTTTCCATGTATCTGGAATTGTATACTCTATACCCCAGACTTCCAGTTATATTTTATGATAACCCGTAGCAGCGCTTATAGTTTATGGTTGTTGCAAGTCAAGGGAATGTCATGATTGAAGGGATATTTTAATTTGGATCTCTGGAATTACCGATGAATCATAATTAATGTAATAGGTTAGCATTATGGCATGTTTGCTTTTTAAATGTAATGTATATTTTTTTCCTTTTTTTCACATCTGCAAGCAGTGTATTAACAATTAAAGTTACACTTTTCTTTGAATCTTGTAGACAAAGAGGATAACAAGAGCACTCTGGAGAAGTGAGAATAACTTTTGAAAAGGAAAGCAAATCAAGCCAGAAATCAAAATATTTTCCATTTCCTTCAGAAAATTACACAATTGTCCCATCCGAGCAGGTGAAAGGCAAGAGAAAATCAAGAAGAGATTTCAAGCTGGAAATAGTAGAGTATGCGGAACAGAAGGATAGGTTACATAACAAGGTGAAGGGGATCATTTTTTCATTCAGAAAAAGAGGGAAATATCTGGAAGTCAATAGGAAAGAAAAGGTCAATTGGATACTCAAATAGGGCAGACAATAATGCAGAACTCCCAATGGGAGGAAGAAAACAGTAGGTGAAATCAAAGCATCACTAAACAAGGGACCATATACAGTATATCAGTGGTGGAGAACGTCCACAGATGTCACTATTGTGGTATAAAGCACAGATTGCAAAAGCATAGGTGATTAAATACAAGAGGATCCAAACTGGAAAAAAGACATACAAATGCTACTAATGTAACAAAATCTTTGGTCAGAATATCTCCCTTGTGGTTCATAAAAGGACCCACACAAGACAGATGCCCTATAAGTGCTCCCAATGTAGTAAATGCATTTGAATGCATTTGAATGTCCTGAATGTGGGAAAAGTTTTAGTTGCAGTTCCAGCCTAGTGAGATACCAGAGGACTCACACAGGAGAGAAACCCTTTGAATGTCCTGAATGTGGGAAATCTTTCACTCAGAATTATAGCCTGATGACACATCAGAGGACCCACACAGGAGAGAAACCCTTTGAACGTACTTAATGTGGGAAATATTTCACTCAGAATTATAGCGTGATGACACATCAGAGGACTCACACAGGAGAGAAACCCTTTGAACGTGCTGAATGTGGGAAAAGTTTCAGTCAGAATTCCACCCTAGTGACGCATCAGAGGACTCACACAGGAGAGAAACCCTTTGAATGTCCTGAGTGTGGGAAAGGATTCACTTACAGTTCCAAACTGGTGATACACCAAAGGACTCACACAGGAGAGAAACCCTTTGAATGTCCTGAATGTGGGAAATCTTTCACTCGGAATTACAGCCTGATGACACATCAGAGGTCTCACACAGGAGAGAAACCATTTGAATGTCCTGAGTGTGGGAAAGGTTTCAGTTGCACTTCGAGCCTGGTGATACATCAGAGGATTCACACAGGAGACAAACCCTTTGAATGTCATGATTGTGGGAAATCTTTCAGACACAATTCCAGCCTGGTGATACATCAGAGGACTCACACAGGAGAGAAACCCTTTGAATGTCCTGAATGTGGGAGATCTTTCACAAATAATTCCAGCCTGATGATACATCAGAGGACTCACACAGGAGAGAAACCATATGAGTGTCCAGTATGTGGGAAACATTTCATTTGCAGTTTCAACCTGGTGATACATCAGAGGACTCACACAGGAGAGAAACCCTTTGAATGTCCTGATTGTGGGAAATTTTTCATACAAAATTCCAGCCTGGTGATTCATCAGAGGACTCACACAGGAGAGAAACCATATGAGTGTCCAATTTGTGGGAAAAGTTTCAGTAAACATGTCAACATGGTGAACCACCAGAGGACTCACACAGGAGAGAAACCATATGAGTGTCCAGTTTGTGGGAAAATATTCAGTCAGAAATCCCACATGGTGATACACCAGAGGACTCACACAGGAGAGAAACCCTTTGAATGTCCGGATTGTCGGAAAAGGTTCACTCAGAATTCCCAACTGGTGATACACCAGAGGACTCACACAGGAGAGAAACCCTTTGAATGTCCTGAATGTAGAAAAAGTTTCAAGACGAATTCCCAACTGGTGATACACCACAGGATTCACACAGGAGACAAACCATTTGAATGTGCTGAATGTGGGAAAGGTTTCAGTTCCCATTCTAAGCTTGTGATACACCAAAGGACTCACACTGGAGAAAAGCCCTTTGAATGTCCTGATTGTGGGAAATCTTTCAGACACAATTCCAGCCTGGTGATACATCAGAGGACTCACACAGGAGAGAAACCCTTCGAATGTCCGAATTGTGGGAAATATTACAGCTGCAGTTCCAGCTTAGTGATACATCAGAGGACTCACACAGGAGAGAAACCCTTTGAATGTCCTGAATGTGGGAAATCTTTCACAAATAATTCCAGCCTGGTGATACATCAGAGGACTCACACAGGAGAGAAACCATATGAGTGTCCAGTATGTCGGAAACATTTCACTTGCAGTTTCAACCTGGTGATACATCAGAGGACTCACACAGGAGAGAAACCCTTTGAATGTCCTGAATGTAGAAAAAGTTTCAAGACGAATTCCCAACTGGTGATACACCACAGGATTCACACAGGAGACAAACCATTTAAATGTGCTGAATGTGGGAAAGGTTTCAGTTCCCATTCTAAGCTTGTGATACACCAAAGGACTCACACTGGAGAAAAGCCCTTTGAATGTCCTGAATGTGGGAAATCTTTCACAAATAATTCCAGCCTGGTGATACATCAGAGGACTCACACAGGAGAGAAACCCTTTGAATGTCCTGATTGTGGGAAATCTTTCATACAAAATTCCAGCCTGGTGATGCATCAGAGGACTCACACAGGAGAGAAACCATATGAGTGTCCAATTTGTGGGAAAAGTTTCAGTAAACATGTCAACATGGTGAACCACCAGAGGACTCACACAGGAGAGAAACCATATGAGTGTCCAGTTTGTGGGAAAATATTCAGTCAGAAATCCCACATGGTGATACACCAGAGGACTCACACAGGAGAGAAACCCTTTGAATGTCCGGATTGTCGGAAAAGGTTCACTCAGAATTCCCAACTGGTGATACACCAGAGGACTCACACAGGAGAGAAACCCTTTGAATGTCCTGAATGTAGGAAAAGTTTCAAGACGAATTCCCAACTGGTGATACACCACAGGATTCACACAGGAGACAAACCATTTGAATGTGCTGAATGTGGGAAAGGTTTCAGTTGCCATTCTAAGCTTGTGATACACCAAAGGACTCACACTGGAGAAAAGCCCTTTGAATGTCCTGATTGTGGGAAATCTTTCAATGTGAATTTCAACCTGGTGAGACATCAGAGGACGCATACAGGAGAGAAACCATAAAAGTGTCCAGATTTTGGAAAGGTTTTCAGTCTTAGGTCTAACCTTATTCATCATATATCACACAGGGGAGAAACATTTGTAATTTCCAATCTGTGAGCAATTCTTCAGGTCTAAATCATTGCACACAAGGAAGTGCACATGAAGCAAACAATGATGAGTTTAGAGAAATCTTGAATTTCATTTCTTATTTTCTATTGAGAGTATAGGTGAGAAATTGACTACTTCAATTCTGGCGTGATTCTTTTTAGTCAACAGATCTCAGGATTATTTATTTATTTATTTATTTATTTATGAGACTTATATACCGCTTTAAGTGCAAGCACTCTCTTTCCATTCAGACCTGAAGGTGGAGTGAAAAAATATGGAAATTGTTAACTTGATAAAGGCTAATGACTTGTTTCTGATTATCAGCAGAGGTTTCTGATGTTTCCTTTTATAGAACTTGTGGCATTCCTCAAACAGGGTTGCAGGTGCTTCAATCACTGGAGGGTTTTAAGAAAAGTATAGACAGTCACCTACCTAAAATGGTATATTTTGGACTAGAAGATGGGTCAGCAACCCGTGGCTCTGGAGCCGCATGCGGTTCTTTAAGTCAGCTCCTGCTGCTCCCAGCCCATGTGGATTACCCCCCAAAAAATGGGGCTAAAAAAGTTCAACCAATCAATTCAAACTTCTCACTAAAAAAAAAAAACTTGTGAAGTTTAAATTGATTGGTTAACCTCCTTTGGTTTGTGGGACTGCCCACAAGCCGTTTGTGGGACTGCCCACAAACCTCTTCTTTCTCTTCAGTCTGCATGGACTGTTGGAAAGGTGAGTAGCCCTTTTCTCTGGGGACTTGCAGTAGGCCAGGAGAAGGAAGGAAAAGATTCCCAGCCCGGGAGAGAGCGTGGGAGGGTATGTGTGATGGCGCCTCTTCCAAAGGGGCACCTACCAGCACCGAGGCAAGCCGTTCCGCTTGGCCCGATGCTTTCAGTTTCAAAAGCAGCCTCGGCGTCATCTGGCCGGCGCGCTTGCTGCCTTTCTTCCTTCTTCTCTTCTCTCTCTCTCTTTTTTCTTTCTTTTCTTTTCTTTCCCTCTCTCAATAAGCAAACAATCTGAGTTCTGACTGGCTGCTCCACGCTTCCTCCTCCTTCCCCCTCCACAAGTAAACTGCATGCAAAAATCCCGCAATATCTGGTGCGAGGCTGACGGCGGAGCTGCTTGTGTCTGCTCACATAAGTGCGAATGTGTTTCTTTTGCAGGGAGGCAGCTTTGCTGAAAGTTATATCTTCCTTCCCCTTCCTTCTCTCCCTCCCTCCCTCCTTTTCTTCCTGTTTTCTTTATCTTTTTTCCTTTCTTCCTTCCTTCCCATATTCTTCCTGCCTTTCTTCTTCCTTTCTTGTCTTCCTTCCCTCCCTTTCTTTCTTTCCTTTCTTTCCCTCTCTCAATAAGCAAACAATCTGGGTTCTGACTGGCTGCTCCGCGCTTCCTTCTCCCCCCCCCCACAAGTAAACTGCATGCAAAAATCCCACAACATCTACCAGCAGTGTTTTTGCTCCTAAGTCAGCCTATGTCTGTGTACACGCACACGCACACGGAGGCTTCCAAACCTAACACGCATACACATGAGATGTGGATGTCTGCAACCAGTCATTGCAAAAAAAAGGGGAAAGTGGACATGACTATTTAAAGACCCCACCTCTTTTCTGCACGGGCTTGAGCAGGAGGCTGGACTAGAAGACCTCCAAGGTCCCTTCCAGCTCTATTCTATTCTATATGCAGAAGCTTATTGTAATCATTGCACCCCCTTACTGGAATATCACCCTTTCTACCTGCACACAGCCTTTTCTTTAGGAGCACCCTTGAATATCATATTTCTTGCATCGGACAGGGAACCCCAAGTCCTTTTAGTAGCAATGTGTAATTTCCACTTTCTCAGCCTGGTTACTAACTTATCAACTGCAGTGATTCACTTAGGGACGGTGGTAAGAAAGGTCGCAAAATGGGGCAAAACTCATTAAACAAATGTCTCATTTAACAATACAAATCCAACCCATCCAACTAAAATGGCTTAACAAGAAGGTATTCCTCTCTTTACAGAGATTTGTTGAACACTGCTGGAATACTTTTGTGAATAAAGGAAAATAAACCCCTTTGGTTAATTCTGCAGGTCCTTGTCCTACTTTCCAAGTAAGTGCTTTGTTGGGAGAGAGAGGAGAATATGAATATATGTGCTTGTTCTTACTAAACATTTAGTAAAGAACGTTTAATGAAATATTTTTATGTTTGTTTAATTAAGAGATGAGATATGGGGATAATTATGCTGTATTTAAAAGATGGTAGATTAGCTGCCAAAATTGTTTTTACCTGTTGGGATGAAGGAGAAAGATTTTTTTTCCCTCTTTCTCCTGTCCTTTTCTTTTTTTCCCCTCACATTTTTTTTTCTTTTTCTATTTGTGGTTTTTATTGTTTGCACCGGCTTTTACTCTTTTCATTTTTAATCCTTAATAAAAAATATTTGAAAAACCAGAGAACATTGTAATGAGACAGAGACGGAGACAAAGAGAGAGAATAACCTGCTATAATGAAAGGTTATGACAGCTCAGATTAGATTGCAGGATCCTCTCTATGAGTGTCTATCGTTGTGAGTCCTCTGGCTTTCAGAAGGTGATGTAGTGGGTAGAGATGCCAAGAGAGTGACTTTAAATCAGCTTTCTGCTAACTCGCACCATGCAAAGATTTTGGCCAAGATGCCTCCCTAGGAATAATCTAACTCAGTGGTTCTCAACCTGTGGGTCGCAACCCTTTTGGGGGTCAAACGACGCTTTCACAAGGGCTGCCTAAGATCATTGGAAAACACCTATTTCCGTTGGTCTTAGGAACCGAGACACCGCTGCTCTATCTGGCCGCCGCCGTCCTCCTCCTCCACCGGCTCCTCCGCCTCCAGGGCGCCCTTCTCTTCCAACAGCGCCCTTCTGCTCCTACCACCGCAGCTCCATTGCACGCACGCCCGATGCTGCCCCGGGCCGGCTCAGCAGCATGGGTGGCTGGGCCAAGCCGGGTCTGGGCCGTTGCTGGCGCTGCCGCTGGGCTGCTCTGCCGCTGCTACCATCGCTGCTGGCTGAGCTACAGCGCCGAGCCAGTCCCCACACCTGGTTGCCCGGTCACATTCCGCCCCCGACCTCCCTCTGCGCCATGCCAGAGCCTCCCCCGCACCTCCCGGCCCACTTCCCTCACCATCGGAGTCTGCCTTGGTCCTCTGGCACCCGGTGCAGCCCTGGGGATGGTGGGCAGGAGCGGCTCTTCCCGGCTCACTGGGCTCCGGGCCTTGGAAGCAACCAGGCGGTGGGCAAGAGGGCGAGGCAGTGGCGATGTCCGCATGTGCGTTGGAGGGGAAGAAGCGGCACCTTCTGAGCCGGAGCGGTGCTCGGGCCACACACCCCTCACATGCGACAAGTCAGGTAAGGGGCGTGGCAGTGAAGGGCTGCACGGCGTATAAAGAGGCTCTTGCGACCCAGCCGCTACAATGGTGCTCAGAAGGTTGGAGGGGCAGGCAGGTCCCGGGGGGGGTGGCTGGGAGAGGGCAAGGGGTGCCGGGATGAGGATGAGGGGCTCCAAGTTGGCAGGCGTGAGGGCGGCCGGCGGCTCCAAGACGCGCGGATCCACTTGCCTCTGTGCTGTGCCTGGAGTCATCACACTTTGCTTAACTACCCCTACTCCTGCGGTTCCTGATGCAGCTGTTAAACGAATGTGTGAGTCATTAAACACTGGCTACCTCACTGTTGGGGAAAACTCTTGGTAGTCCTTGATTTACAACTGTAATTTAGCTTGAAATTACAGTCATAAATCAGGGTCATTAATGAGTCATCACACAATGTGCCCAATTTTATAACCTATTTTGTGGCAGCAGAGAAGGAAGTGCACGAGGCAAACATTGATGAGTTTAGAGAAGGCTTGAATTTCATTTCTGATTCCCCATTGGGAGTGTAGGTGAGAGATTGGTTACTTGAATTCTGACCTGATTCTTTTTAGTCAACCCATTTTAGGATTAGACCTGTAGGTGCAGAGAAAAAAATGGAAATTGTTAGCTTGATAAAAGCTAATGACCTGTTTCTAATTATCAGCAGATGTTTCTGGATATTTCCTTTTATAGAACTTGTGGAATTCCTCAAATAGCGTTTTGTGTGCTTTTTCTATATTGATTATGGAAATCCAACATATGGAGTTTCAGCCTTGTTTGTTGTGCTCCAGATTTTGATCCCCACATTTTCCCAGCCAGCATGCCAGTAGTCTTCAAGTTAAAACTGTAATGGGGCCTGCCAGTTACAGTTGCACGTTGCAAAAGCCATGAAGTGAGACTGGTTTGGCTAATTACCTCCACTCTCCGTGATGCAGCCATTAAACAGATGTGTGAGTTGCTACGTGGAATACTAGCACCCCGACTGTTGGGGAAAGGTCTTGGAGGCCTAATGCAGGCTCAGACCTGCCCCCCACAGGCATCCCTAGGCCTCCCCCACCCCTGAGACACCCTGTGCTCTGCTTCCCAACCCTTGGTTCCCCTGGGAAATTTCCTCCCTTATAGGGACCCACCAAACTTTTCTCCTGTCCCATGGTCCCCACAGGTTTTTCCCCCATGGTCTCCCTGACCTCTCCCCACAGTATTTGGGGGGCTGCCACAAGGAAGGTGGGATAAAATTCTCCAAAACATCAGAGGGCAGGACAAGAAACAGTGGTTGGAAACTGATCAGAGAGAGAAGAACCTGGAATTAAGGAGAAACTTCCTACAAATGCAGACAATTAACCAGAGTGTTATGTGCTCCTGGCTACTTTCCTTCATGACCAGAAGCAAACTCACCTGAGCAATAACCAGCCAAGGCACAGTGAAGGCCTTTTATTTCATTTATTGCAATAAGCGAGGAGAGAAGCTATCAAAGTTTGGTTCTCTCCAGAGTTCCAACCCCAAATATTCCTTCTTTATACAACCCTGTCCTGGATGCCACATCCCTCCTCATTCCCCATTGTACTTTCTTTGGTAGTCTTGTTTGTCTTCAGAAATCATGGGTGCTCCATCACTGGAGGTTTTTAAGAAGAGATTAGACCAGGGGTCAGCAACTTGTTCCTGAGCCGCATGCGGCTCTTTCATCCCTCCACTGTGGCTCCCAATCCTCTGCCACCTAAAAAAAAAAGTTCAATCAATCAGTTACAACTTCTCACAGAAAAAAAAGATCTTGCATAATTGGAATTGATTGATTGAACCTTTTTTTAATCCCACAAACAAAGTTTGCAGGCAGGTTAACAAGCAGAGCACAGGATGTCTCAGGCGTGGGGGAGGCCTAGGGATGCCTGTGGGGGCAGGTCTGAGCCTGCATTAGGCCTTCAAGACCTTCTGCCCACAACAGCAGAGGAAATGATGGAGGACCACGTTGGAGCTGGAAAGGTGCTGGTAGGGCCCAGTCAGGGGCGCAAGGGGGTTTTCTGCCAAGCATCATGTACGGAGCTGGGGAAACGGGCCGAGGGGGAGCTGCCAATTCTGCTGCTATGAGGCTTGTCAGATTCCCCCCTGTGCCATGATCCCCCCCCCAGCCAACCACCATCACCTAACCTACCCCTCACCTGGCCAGCCAGCTGGCACAAAGCCTCACCGCTCTTTTCCTACTCGTTCTCCTCCCCATTCTGTTCCATCCGAGTTGAAGGAAGCGGAGGCACAGCAGCGGGATTCCTCTCAATAAGGCAGGCGCACACGAGCGAGCAGCACACCCGCTTCTTATTATTTGAGAGCAATCCCTCTGCTGCGCCTCCGCTTTCTTCAACTTGGATGGAGCCGAGGAGCCGCTGGGGGCCTCTTGAGTGGGAAGGACAAGCTTTGCTGCTGGGCAGTGCCTGGGCTATGCGCTGCCGCTGCCTCCCAAACGCCATCTTTGCTGCTGGGGAAAGCTGCAGTGGCAGAGCGCTCCGCACAGGGGAGGTAAGAAGAAAATGCAGTGGCAGCAGGGCGCTCTGCATGGGGGAGGTAGGAGAGAAAAGTAGCAGCAGGCCATGCTCCCCGTGGGGGAGGTAGGGAAAAGCAGCAGCAGCAGGGCACTCTGCGTGGGAGAGGTAGGAGGGAAAAGCGGTAGCAGCAGGATACTCTGCACAGGAGAGGTAGGAGGGAAAAACAGCGGGACACGCTCCATGTGGACGAGGTAGGGAAAAGCGGTGGCAGCATGGCGCTCTGCGTGTGGGAGATAGAGCAAAGTGGCGGCAGCAGGGTGCTCTGCACAGGGAGATAGAGTAAAGTGGCAGCAGGGCACGCTCCGCATGGGGGAGGTAGAGAAAAGCGGCGGCAGTAGGGCACTCCGCATGGGGGAATAGGAGGGAAAAGCGACGGCAGGGCACGCTTCGTACGGGGAGGTAAGAGCTGTCCAGTCTCCTCTTAAAAACTTCCACTGATGGAGCGCTCACAACTTTTAGAACAGACATGTTAAACACAAAAGCCCGGGGGCCGGATGCGGCCCACAAAGTGATTTCATGTGGCCCGCGAAGCCATCCTGGAAACAGTGAGGGAACGGCCCCCTCTGCCTTGGCCCTGGCCGGCCGGGAGACAATGTACAATTTTGTGGTGGCCATCTATGCTGAAATGCATTCAGTCTTAGCTCCAGGCTCCAGCTGAGCCCTGAAGAAGCACCAATCAGCTGGAAAGCAGCACTGATCCTGGCACTTCTGCTGAGCCCAGAAGACGCGCCGATCAGCTGGAATGTCGCAGCATCTCCAGGGTCTTGTGATTTACATTCAGATGCTTAGCAACTGATTCATATTTATGACGGTCACAGGGTCACAGAGTCCCAGATGACCAAAACCTGCTGCAACCACCCAGCAGACAAAGGGAATAAAAACCAAACACCCCCCACCCCACCCGCCAATACTCAACAGAAATGCTCACAACCATGAAAACCCTGGACAGGAGGAAGAGCGCCATTGTAACTTTGAACAGTCACTAAGCGAACTGTTGTAAATCGAGGACTACCTGTACTTCATCACTTTTTCCCTTTTTTTGGTCATCAAGTTTTTGACACCTTGCTAGGTGACTGGTGGTACTTGGATACTGCCATATCCTAAAAGTGGTACAATGGGTGAAAAGGTTGAAAAGCCCTGTTGTAGTCCAATCCCCTGCTCAAGCAATCAGAATATACCATTTTAGGCAGGTGGCTGTC